TAATAAAATATAGTCCAAAAGTTGAATGACATTGATGTGATCAAATATAATTTTAATTTAGTGAAGTTCATTATACTTAACTGAATTAATTAATATTATTTATTAGTAATAAATTATTACAGTATAATACTATTACAATAAAAATACAGTAATGATTAAGAAAACTTGATTTACAATAAAATCTATAAAATAAAATAACGTTAAAAAATAATTTGAAAGATTTTACATTACTTAAAAAAATAATTTTTTACAATTTATTCATTTTGAACAAAACCATTGCGATTAATGGGAGGGTCATACTTAAACGTGGTACCGGCGCTATTGCACCTGGATGAACACTTGCCAATAAACTCCAGGTCGCTAAACAACACCTTCAACTCCTCGACACCTGTCTCACTGCGACACCCGGTCTGGGTATCAGCTATAAGGATACCATTCCCCCAAAATAAGTCGCCCGCGCACTGACCACCCGACACAGTCCCGCAAACCGGGAAAAATTGATTCCCTATTAAACACAATACAAATACACATATTATGCGAGTAATGGCTAATAATTTTCAAAATTAGATACCATTGATGTAAATGAAAATTTGTGTCAAATCGGTCAGTGGGATGAGCTCCTGGTGCCCGTCGGCGAACGTGGCGTTGTAGGTGTCGTCATCCTTTGAGACGATAACCCCGGTACAGGTGACCGGCGCCGGGAGGGTCCCGTGATATGAGAGGTGGTCTATTACGGAGCCCCTATCGCACGGCGCCTCCATGTCGTACGTGACGTTAGGGCTGACTATCTTTGTGAGGGCTTAAGATAGTTTAATTAGTTATCCGACTTTACCAGGGTAGTTATATAATATTACTTACCATAGTTTTGGTTTGGCATTTTTTTAATTTCTGTAAATTCATTTTATAAAAATTATTTGAATTATTAATTACTACAATTTGTGCTAGTTTATTGGGTGTTTATACCTTTACACAGTAAACGCTTTATTTGGCTTTCCATAGGATTTTCGCTGACCTTATCTGACATTTTTGATCAAATTTACAAAAAGAAAATATTTTTGAAAATTAAACTTAGTTTGTAAGTTAAAATAATATTTTCTAATAAAACTCACCTAGGTATGCTGCTAAAGGAATACGTATGTCTAGTGGGGAACCTCGTTAGGTGTCAGTAAATTGTGCAATTAGAATGGGTATTAAAACAAACTCTATGTCCCTATCGACAAATTGAATTGATCAAAGTCGGCGAATATCATGAGCTCGTCCCGTAAATCCAGTTATAAACATATTGACATAGTGATTTTACACATAAAAATAACATTATTTCATACTAATTATTTACTAAATATATTCATGACTTTTATATATGAATTTATTTCGAATATTTTCTGTAAACCTAACGAGGTTCCCCACTAAGATATTATGAGTCTTAGCAAACTGTCACCTGTATAAATTAAACTAGAATTAATATTTTTAGACTTACATTTTACAGTTAAACCTTTAACGATGTTTTAAAAATATTATAAATCAATTGCAATATATTTAAAATATTACTAGAAACTTGTTGTCAAATTATTTATAGGTAATTTATCTTTAACCTGATATATAAAATGTACTTGCTTACCCGAATCATAAGTTATATTTAAGATTTTTTCACCGCCACGATCTAAGGTGCATCGTGTGGCCGCTCGGGGACAGCCTACTATTTCTACGTTGGTCACATCGTGATAGCCTATAAAATTATCCAGATTATAGTATAAATGAAAATATAATTTAACATTTAATATATTAATTATATTAATAAGCTTGTTAGGATTGAATATATTTATAATACAAACCGCAATCCCTATATGGGTTAATGTCGTCCGAGTATACGGTGACAGCTATTGTCAACAGAACCGCGAGGTGGCTTAATTTGAACATGGTGATATATATTTTTTATATAATATACTTATGGCTCTAAAACCCTTTCCATTTCTCTATTTATACAATTTTTTAAGTGCAATCAATTGTGAAATACGTGATTCAAATCTAGCTAACCATTGATAAATTTGAAGGATTTTTAAGTGGGTCAGTTGCACTACACTACAGTATCTATGCCCTAATCTTAATCCTTTATAAGAAAAGACACCTGTTTCAATTAGATATTGTATTTCTTATATTTATTTTCATTTCTAAAATGCACAGGGATGTTATTAAAGTACTGTACTATTTATTTAATCATCTACTTTACATTATCTTAAATATAATAGTTCATTAAAAGTTTGTTTGATATATAATATTTGCTAAATATACAGTTACATAACAATATTTTTAAAGTTAATAAATTCTACAAATACTAGTAAACAAACATAACGCTGTAATCTATATAATTTCATATAAATTTTATAATCTAGCATAATTTGTTTAACACAATTGTTTTTCAAATCGTGTTATATTAAATGCATTTATAATTAGAACCAAATCTGGATTTTATTTTTAGTAGCTTAAATAAAATATGCAACAATTTTAAATATATTGGTAATTTAATAATTTATATTTATTTTCAAAAATAAATAGTAATATTACATGGTTTAAAATAAGTTAGTTAGTGCCAGACTTGTACTGAATATTTCCTAACATCCCTGTGTACAGTATTATCACCCGGATTCATTACAATTCGTGCTTTCAGTGCACCACTTCAGTATTATCATAAATATTAAATAACAACCTTGCGCAAATGTCGCCAAATTGAAAAGCGTTCGCAACTGGTAATACATTTATTAGTATTGGATGCTTACACGACCTAATAGTAAAGCAATGTTTAGTATTTTAAATACATATACAATCTACAGTATTTGGATTTAGTAATTGAAATGAGTTTCATAGCCTTGTTAATTATTTTCAAATTATTTTGCAGAATTTATTTTAAAAATTAATTTAACTTTCACTCAAATTACTAATTCTTATTCATTGTAACTTACTGTGATACATATCAGGGGTCGTTCACAAATCTATGTTGGTGAGTGGGGTATGACTTACCCTGTATGTTCACAAAGTACCAACATACGCCCCTCGTATTAACTATCTACCGTGCGGGAAATGGATTATCTCTTGAATGGATGATCCAGTACTTAATCTATATTTATGGGTTTATAGCCCCAACATACCGGTTTAAAAAAATATACTGTATGTTATATAAATTTACCATGATAACTGCGTAATTTGGCTTCGCAAAAATAGTTCCCATTTTTTATTTCTCATAGGAAATATATTGAATCGTAAATTATTATTTATATTTTGAATTATTTTCAATACAAATTAAATCAAAAAATTCTGGAGCTATTTTTGCAAAGCTTAATTACACGGTTACCATGATGAATTTATATGGGGTATAGTATATTTTTAAAAACCGGTATGTTGGGGCTATAAAATCTTGAAGAGTGATTAAAGATTGGATAATCCGTTCAAGAAATAATCCATTTCCCGCATGGTCAATAGTTACTGCGAGGGATGTATGTTTCATAGATAATTTATTATTGGGTATATACTGAGTGAACGCCCCTTTAATGAATGGATAAGATATGTGTTCAGTTCCAATGTTGTAAACAACTGTACAAATTATATCATTATTGATATAAAGTTCAAATTAAAGAGCTAGCAACAATATTTCGCAACATTTTAATGAGAATCACATTTAAACAATATTTCAAAATGTACACCTCAGTTTTATACCTTACAATAATATAATTGTAAAATTAGTTATCATTTAAATGTAGATTATCAGTGGAAAATTAGAGCCAGGGGAATATTACAATACATGTGCTTTAATTACACATTGTATATATATGTATTGCACAATATCTCATGTATTGTACAATAAAAATATTTTAATTTTAGAAATAGATATATTTAATAGTTAACTATATTAGATGATATTTAAGAATAATTCATTAATTTGTTTTCATTAGGCTATTTTATCAGTTTAGCATAAACAATAAGAAATACGATAACTATGAGTTCATGCAATATATTCTGGAGTTTATTGGGAATCATGTATTAATTCTGAACCTGGTAATTCTTCTGCCCAAATGGCCAAACCAAAATTGTGGTACCAAACGTAACATACAGTTTGGACAGCACGTGTAGACCCGGCTCAATATTCAGTCGCCTGTCCTATCAGCAGGCATACCCGAATAATGTCACGTGTAATGGTGTGGTGATCGCCAACATTACCGACCAATACGACGCCACGTTTGCCTCAAACAACCAGATCCAGGCGCTAGTCATCACAAACTGAACACAAATCATGATTTCCTTCAGTGGTTTGCGTTATATTCAATAAAAATTATTTTCCTAATTATTAGTTCGCATACAACCTAGATCATATTTATCTAATATAATCACATTAGGTAACGACGGGTTTCTAGTTTGTGGTATCATATTGAGTAGTCAGTGCTTTGGTCATATTTTTAGGGGAACGGGATTACATGTGGCTAACGACCAGATTGGTACGCCCTCTGTAACCGTACTGTTCGGTCAAATCAACATTATAATAGGCAACTGCGAGTCCATATGCAGTACAGCCGGGAATACATGTTAATACCATCTCTCGGTTAGTAATAAGGGACTGGTACTGGAAAAGGTGGCAGGGTAGGTATCACGATAAATAAGTTTATTTAAATTTTTGACATATTTAATATTTGTTTGTAATAATTTTGCAATATTTAATATACTGTAGCTTGGTTATATGTTTAGTAAGTTTATACTTGCAAAATTGTTCTACTTGATGATTAAATATGTAGACCGCCTGTTGTGTCAATCAATAACAAATATGTAAATCTAATTTTAGTAATGTTTTTAAACAATTTAAATAAAAGTTTGTATTTTAAATAAATAACTCATTTTGTATTCAACCAGTTTGCATTTGTTATTTGAGTGTTACAACAACAAATTAATTAAAATGGATTTTAAATTAGTTTTGGTTATATTTTTATACTCAATTATAGCATTTACTAATGCAGATTATCAAACTGAGCCTACACATAGAGACATACGTATTCCTTTAGCAGCATACCTAGGTGAGTTTTATTAGAAAATATTATT